AAGGTAAAGGATTCTTGGGTACAACGAGCCTCTGGTCCCTTCAGAACAAGGAATCTCCAAGGTGTTAATATTTTAAATCTCAATATTTCCATATCCTACAATCAAATCCCAGCAAAGGATCACATCCATAGGGAAAACTTAACAAATTGCTTGCATGGTATTCTATTGTGAAATACGATAATCAAGAAAAAGCACATATAGCCTTCCTTGATGGTTTTCTTAAAATAAATAAGGTACTATTGCATGATGCTTGTGTCATGCCAAGTACTCCAAGGAAGTAGGCAGGGTGCTTCAATCTCACATCAGATAGGAAAGGAAGGTCATTGGGCATTAAGCGTTGGCGCTAAACACCCCAATAAGCCGATTTTGCAAGGAAAGGGTAATGGCCATGTGACAAGCAATATCAGTGCCAACCCTTGACTCATCGGACTCCACACCAAGTGCCCCAACGGGGGTAGGCAGGATGGGCCAATCAGGCCACTTCACAAGGTGACGGGGTAATGCATGGTGGCAAAGTCTGACCACACCAAGCACTCCAAAGGGGAGCAGGCAATGTGGCAGCCATGACACCCACGTCACTAGACTGGGTGGGGGAGCATGTCATGCTAAGCGCTCCAAGGAATAGGCAGGGTGCTTCAATCCCAAATCGGATAGGAAAGGGAAGGTCACTAGGCATATAAGCGTTGGCACTGCACACCCTAATAAGCCAGTTTTGATGGGAGAGGATAATGGCCAGTGACACTTGCACCTCACAGAAGGGTGAAATCAAGATACTATCACCTACCAACCCTGCAACACGTCAGCACTGTTGCATGATCCAAAAGGTAGAGGTGATAATAGCCAAAGGCCATTTAGATGACAGCTATGTGAAGGAAAATAATGAAAATTTCTTCAGGAAACCAACAGAATCCAACTTACCTGGCCACAAAACGGTATCAATATTGTGTACAATGCTAAGACATTCATTTAATGACGCAACATCATAATACTGCTATCTTTAACAATTTCCCTCAAAACGATGAAAGGTTAAATCACTACTATTCTGCTGAAAAGGTCACCAATAACACTAGTTGCCTCCTCAGTATGTGAGTTGCAAGCATTTATACATTTTTCACCCCCATAAGTAATTTTCTTTATCAAAGAGAAAACACAGGACAACAAGAACAGTCTAACACTGTTTAGCCCATAATGGAATCAACAACATGCAATATATAGGAATTGAGGATGCTTGTGTCTAAATTCAGAAAATGTTTTTATTAAGGAACCAAAGTCTATCATCTCTTTCAGATTCTTAAACACAATCCTAAAGCTAATTCAAACTCTTTTGTCCAGAGCAGTCTCAATCTACTTGCACAACAAAGATGTATATATTCCAGGAGAAATAACATCCATTATTTCAAATTTCAATACATTTGCTTGACACACTGAATTGCTCAATTAAAAATTACACTAAACCTCAGTAGGAGAGATCTCAGATGTAGATTTTACAATAGACCGAGGGGAAAACAAGGAAAACCAAAGAAAGGCAGGGTGCATCAAGTAATTAATTGATATAAAAAAAGATAACCTTTTGGTTTTGCTAAGAGGGAGCAAATTCACATGTAACATAATGTCAACACTAGCTGAGATAGCAATCAGTTCAAGAGTGACTACCTCAGAGCTAAAGTTCCAGAGCAACGTGTTGCACACATTCCTCCTATTGTTGCACCAGGCCCTGTGGTCAACATGGTTTACGAATATAACATTACATTTACACCCAGGCCAACAAATAATAGATATATGAGGTGATTTTATCAAGAAATGGAGTAGAAAACTGTAAAAAATATTTTCTCATTAGAAAGAAATGCTGCAAGGATAATATATAGCAAACTGACCTGGATCAAGAGGGAAAAATAAACCATAAGGCTCCAAGTATTCATTAAGTTCCATCCATCCAATTCCAGGCTCAACAACAACATCCATGTCCTCAATATGTAATGCTTTAACTCTCTAATAGATTTAAACAATCAGAGCTATTATTGCAAATTAAAAAATGAGAAAAGGAAAGAAGATTTCCATATACTCATTTATTTCATCAATTTTTAAGATAAGAAAAATTAGTGGCAAGTTCAAGTCAAATAATTTTCATAAGAGTGTTCTAACAAAGTTTCAACTTACATTACAATAAACAAGTTCTAGAATGAGTACAACAGGGATAACATGTTAATCAAGCCCATGCCACAGGACACGCAAGAGTAGATTGCACAATAAATAGAATAAGAAGCGCACTTAACGGTATCACAAAAAAGAATGGCATTAAATCAAAAAGAGATGATTTCAATCTTTACTTTTTTGAATTTATCCAGGAAAATAGATTAAATATACCTTCATTAAGGTCATGTCAATGCAAACACCTCCATAAGGAGACAAAGTGTGCCCCTCAATGGATGTAGCTCCACCATATGGTACTATAGGGACCTGATTACAACATAAATAAACAATTAAAATTTTATACTTTCTCAAGAAGAACCAATACTTTTTTTATTGTACCCCAGTTCATAAACTTGATGATACAATGTCTGTCACCTGTATCACCTGGTCCCAATTGTAAGATTTAGATCTTAGTAAGAGACATTGTAGTCATTAACCAATATCATACCATGCACAAGCACCAAATCATACATCAAGAACCATTCAATCAAAATAGGATACCAAATATGTAAAAAAAAATGCTCCACATTAGGTGATAAAATTAAAATAGAAAAAGAGAGAAGTGCAACATTAATAAACTTACATATAAAGGAAGAAACAGACCTTATGTTTGTTACAAGATTTGACAATCTGGGAAACTTCCTCCTCAGACCTGTGCATATGAATTGTGAATTGATATTCAGAAAAAAAAAATGCAGATATAGACTGCACGTATGTGGTGAACTGTTCTCTAACTTCCTGGGGTGTCGCAAGTCTCATGTGCTTTATGCTTTTATAAAAAGCACAATGATAAATAAAATTCATCCATTCAAATTAAAAGGTTTCATTTTAGAATTCTCAATGACATAATACCTCACTTAACTACCAAATATATCTAAACAAAAACACCTGATTCTGGAAGTAGAACAAAAATTTTATTTACAGCTTAATTATAGAATAAATGACTGTCTAAAAATGGTTCTTCTTAAAACGCTACTAGAAGAAGACCTTTGTAAGACCAAAAACTACCATTTAGCTACAATTCCAACGTACTTCGAATACAATGATAATATGAAAAATCTGACTTGAATATGACACGCACTAACGTTGGATATACAATCAGAAGAGTTCATAACAAAAGAACCATGAACAAAAGCCCACTCTAATTCAGGTCTGTAATGGCAATTCTTAACTGCTAATTTCTTCCAGGGTTTCTTAGACATTCTAACCAATGTTTCAGCCATCTTTTTTAGCACCCTGCATTTGTCACTCAACTATTGTAAACAAGCTGTGTGGCATTACAAGTACAATCACCTTAACTAACAACTATTAGTGCAATTATAATGGCTATCTCCACTTCTTCAGCCTACACCTATTAAAAGGGACTCCCAAACCCATAAAATTAGATTGATTAGAAGGTGTGCTATGCCTATTTCATTTATACTTACTGTTTTGAATAAAATCATTGTGTGCAAAAAGAAAAGCAAATTGATGTTTTCTTTACAATAAAAGAAAAAAAAATTGTGATAAAACGTTGAACCCCGAATATCAGGGATCATTCTCACCTGGGGAAAACAACCACATCAGGAATATTCACTGCTTTATGGAAGCTGTTCTGTGGCTTTCCATGGAAAAATCTTTCATCATAATCCAAAGTCATATTATCCTGTAAAGTTTAAAATTTTCCAAAATTTTTCTTATTTCACCAATTTTTCCTAAACAAAACATTTAATTTAAGCACCCAAAAAAAGATTAAAAGAAGGTAAAATACCTGGCAGATAGCCTTCAATTCATCAATAAGCTCTTTTGGAACTTCTTTATGAATGCCCTTCACGACGAACTCTGTGCTTGCCTTCCCACCAACGCTGACTTTCCTAAAAAGAAAGGAACCGAAAAACCCATTTTATTTTGTTGATTTCTTTCTCTCCTAACAAAAACAGAAGAGCATAAAAGAACAGTTAAAATTTTCTACCGTGACAACAGTTTAAACTTACATCTTATTCAATCAGAAAAAAGACAAATAAAACCCAAAAAATTAAAAAAAAAAAAAAAACAAACCGGGCATCCAGATTAGTGGGTTCGCAGAGAGAAGGCTGAATGTTGTGGGTTTGAAAAGCAAGGGACCCGGCAGAAACAGCGAGAGCCAAAGGAAGCAAAGCGCCGGACCATGAGAAAAACTGGGCATTGCTTCTCTAGGCTATGGTGGATGGTACGTTCGCTCGAGAAGTAGTAGAGTGACGGAAAGCATGGGAGAAAGCAGATTTCTTGGAACAAGAACGTAAGCGAGCGAGCCAAAACGAGAAGACCATGCTGGGAACTAGGCAGTCAACAGAGAGTCAAAAGTCAAAACTTTCCGCTGTAAAGATTTTTTTTCGGGTGAGATTCGAGATCGGTTTACGCCGTAAAGCAGTGTTTGTTTGGTTGCATTTATAACGTAAGATTCTTGTGGATACTTTAAAATATTGCGTTATTTTCAAGTTTTTTTTATTAAAATAACAAAAAAATTCTTAAATTTTAACATTTTATTAAATAAATCTCTTTATTTTTATTGAGTCAAACAAATCTTAAATTTTTAATTTACATCCAATTAAATCTTTAATTTTTAATTTATAGTGAAATAAATTTTTAATATAAATCAATATTTTGTTTGAAATACAAATTTATTTTGACTCAACAGAAATAATATTTCATTTGGATTTATTTTTTTGAGAAATGAAATAAAGATTTATTTAAATATAAATCAAATGAGAAAAAATAAAAATACCCAAAAAAAATTCACATTTAACTATAGTGAAGTGTAAATCCATTATAGTTTGGAGGAAGTGAATATGTATTAAATAATTCAAAGGAAATTGTTTTCTTCTCCAAATAAATCATGCTTGCTCAAGGAATGAGGGGAATTAAAGGGCAAAAATGCTTAGTTCCAATGGAAAAATGGATACTACTACACTACTCCTTTAAGCATTTAAATGAACTTGAACTACAGTCAACCAACTGCCAAACTCTGTCTCCTTTGCTTGATCAGGAATTAAGTCAATAGCCAATAACATATTTGGTTTGAGATTCCCAGTACTCCTTGGATTGTTTCACCATCTCAGCACGTTCTGCAATCAGCCTCTCTTTCCAATAATCTCTATGCCTGCCAGTGCCAGATTTTGTGATAGTCAGGCACACTGAATAAGGTTCCCCAAAAAGAAATAAAGGGTGACAGAAATGATAGCAATGTTGTATTCAAATGAGCAAAAAAAAGAAATTATCACTATATTTGTAAACTTTATTTTTTTAATTATTTCCTGAGCAACGAACGGAATTTTCACTATTGTTCACCTTCGTTTGATGAGCAGATCTAGTTCCAGCATGTTCACCGCATTAGCATATACTCCAGCCTGCAGATGAGGGGAGAAAACGTAATGAATTTATCCTTTGCAGCATATTACAAGTAAAGAAAAGAAATAATATGTTGACACTCTGAAGTGGGATCAATATTATGAAATAGCTGTAAAACCAACAGCACCATTTCTTCTCCTATTGTTCCTTTTTCCTTTTGGGGAAGAGGGGATGGTATACATAAGTTTTCTCTGTTAATTTGATGAAATTCAAGTAGAGAAACATAATTCAATAAATTTCTTCCTTCTTGGAACAAAAATATTTTAATGCTATACCACTAAGGAATAATAACTTTCTGGCATCAGTTAAAGAAAGAAGGCATGCAATGAAACACCCTTTCCTCACATAGATCACACATATAAGAAAAGCAAAAAGAAGGCATGTAATGAAGCAACATCAATGGTTACCAATTAAAGATGGCACTTTTGGCTTTATTCCCTTAAGTAGATTCTTAGTCATATGGGTGGAGATTTAGCGAAATAAAAACATTGAGTTCATCTATTAGCAAGTATCTCACTCAGTTAGAAGGGAAGATGAACTTCAAATTACTGGATCTCAAATTCTTGTTAACATGAAAGCACATAGACAATTGAAAATCACAAAATATATTACAAGTAAGGTTCTTGTTGAGTGTGGCAAAGTTGGAACCAACATTTGCAAATATGTTCATAAGGGAGAAAAGCATGAAATGACAAATTAAATTGATCTGTATATAAACATGGGGAAAGAAAATTATCTGCAAGAGTTATTAGGAAAAAAAGTAATTGCATGGATAATAGAAGAGAAATGGCTTTCCATAAGGAATATGAGAGATGGGTGTCTCTTCAAGAAGTTGAGGCAAACACCCACTAACTACTAGACGGTAGGGTAACATACTGTAAATTTTACATAGAAAAGGATTGAATACTCAAGAAGAAGCCGACAGTGTTCATAAAACAGTAGACCAATTAGTTCATAGCTAAATGCAAACCTCTCTACAAATTGGGCACTTTGAATCTGGACTTGCGGCTTTAAGTCCTTGAAAGATCATCACAGAAGCAGCTGAGCAAGCACATGACTTGCAGAAAAGATGACCACAAGTCAAAGCGTATGGATTAAAAACAGTTTCCTGTGAGATAGGGACAAAAGAATCAAAACATCCCCCATGCTGTAAAATGCCAATTACATTTCCTTAGAACGTACTGAAACGAAGAGCTTACCAAGCAAATAGCACATGTTAGATCATATTCTAGCTTTATTGAATTTGGAAGCACCATTGTCATCACAGGTTCCGTTGCATTGAGGTCACAAGCAAAAGAACCAGAAAACTGAATGAACTCTCCACCATCTGATCCATTAAAATTCAAGTAAAAAGCTCCCAATTCAATCAACCAAGGTGATTGCAAAAGCTCCAGATGTTCAGCCCTCATCTTGGATTTGAACTTCTTCCCATTTACAGAGCTGTGTACCTAAGACAGAATATTAGTTAATAGTCTTAGAATCTCTTTCTAATACAAGGTGATTGAGAGAATATCGTAACTGATATTAAGCAAACAAATGGCTGCATACTTTATCATACTTTTTCAGGATTTTACGGATAGCAATTGCATTCATTGTAATATATTCTATTAACATCCGCCCTTCTTGTACCAAGTCTTGCTGATCATTTTTGAAACATTGACGTATCCGCAAGACGTATCTCTGCATTCCAGTGGCAACATGAAGATGGAGAAGATGTCTGACTCTGGAACTAAAGCATCCAGCTATATCCGTAGCTTCCCTCATCAGTTCAGTAAAGAACATCTGATCACACACTAAAAGATGCACGGGCTTATTGACAGATGCTCCAACTAAGTATCATAAAATTTACATCAGCAACAAGAGCTCTATTATCCATTGCATTGCATTAGAATAATAGAACATGAATTTTGCCCCCAAAAGCTATCAAAGAAATTGCAAGTAGTCCTTCGAAAGACTATAAATTATTTTCAAATGTATGATAGGAAAAGAATACAGTGTCACTTCAACTTATTGTTGCTTTCATAAGTCTTGAAAGTGGCACTGTGAGCATGGGAAACCAAAATTTTCTTCCTCTATTTGTTTAATTACAATTAGACAGCTAAAAATCATGATGAAAAGAAAAGGGAGAGCCAATAAAATAATTGAATAATTAAAGCTTGAAAGAGGCCAAAATATATTCCATTATCCTGTCTTTTTCTCTAAATGGGAATCTTGGAAAACAAATAAAACAAGAAAATAGATGGAGACATATCATCTTATCAGATTTTGACAGCTCATTGTAGTCCAATTGATTAGTACTAACATAAATACATAATACACCAAGGGTGGAGAAAATCAGTATTAAAAAAAAAGATCCAAAACAAAAAGAACTCACCTGGACAAGATTGGCATTGACAGAATTGAGACAACATGGGATTCTCCTCATCATCTATTTGTTCAGTTTTTTTGTTAGAGCCATGTAATGCTTGACAGGTTCTGCAGCTTTTTAGAACTCTCTTAAGCCTTTTATACTCGACATGAGAAAACTTATCTAAAAACCATTCCTGATCACCATGCAGATACTCCTTAAAAGTCTCTCCAAACTTCATCTTTCCAATATATCAATCAAAATTAAATCACAATTAAAAAAAAAAAAACCAGAGATCCAATGCAAATTTAATATCTTTTTTTCAAACAAAAAAGTAAAACTCTTGATCTGATCTCACCAGAGACCAAAAATAAAAAAGAACCCAATATTTGAAAAGAAGAGCTCTTTGCCTCCAACAAAAACAGGTTCCAAACAGTATTATCTTAAAAGACAACCAGACAAGAAGCAGGAGTCTGGCTGAGGAATTTTAGAATTAGATATGAAAGTTGAGAGATTGAGAAAGGGAGAATCGAGTTCTTTTGTTTCATTAATGAAAAGGCAAGATGTTGAAGTGGAAAATGAGAAACAAAATGTGGGTTGGTTTTTGTTTACGCAAGGAACTTGAAAGTTTAAAACATCGAACGGTCGACCACATCGCGCGCTCTTCTCGGATTAACATTGCCACACATTTGGCCCCCCATGCACGGCTGGTTTGGAGATCGAGCTTTTTGTTGTCGACACTGTGCCGCCTCTCCGGTCAAACAAACCAATGGTCAGGCCTCAAGCTCCTACTTCTTCTCTCCTGGGTCAAATAACGTTTGGGCTGGGCCCATTATTGTTCTTTGGTTAGAGTGTGCCTGGCTCATTGTTTAAGAAATACGATCTCATTTTTTTTTTAATTATATTATGAAATTTTAATTAAAAGATTTTCACATAAAAAAAGTGACTTTGATGAAGAAAATAAAAAAATAAATGCACATTTATTAATTAGCATTAAATTTATAGGTCATTTTGCAACAAAAAATAATAATAAAAGCACCCATATTTGCATTACTTCATTGAATGTAGTTTAAAATTTCATTTAGACAAAGAACGAAAAAAAAATTCTCATAGTATCCGTTCTTATTAATATCAAGATTTATAAAATTCTCATGAAACCAAAGTTTAGATTTTTCAAAGTTATAAGCAATAAATAAGGGGATCTATCATTGATCCTTATCCTTTTATAATCTCACTCATGGTATTCTCACCTAACCAAATGTTAATCAAATTTGCCTTCATAAAGCTTGTCTTTTTTTTTTTTTCCTCATTTGCCACAACTTGTTCCTTTCACATCACACTTCCCTAAAGTTGTGTTTGATTGATCAATGGGACTAAATTAATCCCCTAAAAGATGAAAGGAAAAAAAAAATCAAAACTCTTATTGCAATTTTATCATGGAAAAATTTTTAAATTATAAGGTTAAATTTACTTTTTTTTTTATAGTTTATGCATTTTTATTTGAGATAAATTTATAGATATTAGCCAGTAATTAGTGAAATAAATAAATAAATAAAACTATCATTCTCGGATTAACCGCCATGTTCCAACTAATCAGGAGCTCTCAAAATCATCCGAATCGCAATCAATTTAATCATCACCGTATATTTTCATTTCTAGGGAGAATCAACCGTCAATATTTTTGTACTAAAATTTTTTAAAAAATTTATCTTTCCAAAAAATTCTTACCTAATTTTCGCTAATGGTCGACACGGAAATCGAGAAACCTTAAAAAACCAAAAAGCTGAACAAAAAAACAAACTCCCCACCTCCCAACAAAAACAAACAAGCTCCAAAAAAATAAAACATTAGGGTTTCCACTTTCCCATTTTTTTCTTTTATCATTTTTTCCCTCCTGATTTTCCTTCCCTCCAAACACCATTGCAATTGTTGCCATTTCCCCTCTTGGAATTTTTTTTTCCGCTCTGCTTGGTGAGAGGCGACTGATTTTCTTTCAAAGAAGAAGTTTAATGAAATTAAAAATAAAAGGAGCTTGATTTTTCGTCTCTGGATCTTTCCTGGGAAAATTTGCCTCCTTTTCCAGCTTTCTCTCTCAGCTTCCACGGTTAGTTGCAATCTTTTCCCTTCTCTTTCCTTCTCGCTCCTCATTTCTCTCTCATCTGATTCCTAGGAAATTTCTTTTTCGATAAGATTTTCTCAAAAAATGTTTTAACCTTTAAATGTTATCTGAAAATTATCAGATAATGTATATTTTGTTAGTAATTTTTTTAGAAAGTTACTCTGATTCCTGGAAAAATTTATGTCAAAAAAGTAACTTTTAGTCGCATATCTTTCATTAATTTTTTTGGTTTAAATTTGTTGTTTTATTGTTTATTTAAGGAACCTTTCTTTGTGATTTATTGATCCAGGAGGAATTTATATAGCTGGTGGGTGGAGTCAAAGAAGGAAGGAGGGAAAATTTCATTGGAGGTTCTAAAGTTCTAGGGAGAGAGAGAGAGAAGTTTAATCTTTTTTCTTTCTTTTTCTGTAGATTTTTTTTAAAATTTCAATTGTTAGTAAATAATTAGATTGCTTGAGTTTGAATGCATATATTGATATATGGAGTCAGAAGTATTTTTACCTCCAAGAGATTTGGCACAATGTTGTGATTGCGGTTGTACTGCCTGTTCTTTGATTGGTGATCGTTCGAGTACTTGGTTTCGGTCTGTCAAACGAAAATATGATGAGCTTGAGACTGGAAATGGGTTTTATGGTCCGGGGTTTGATGTTTATTCCAATGCCAGAGTACAGATTGAGAATGAATGTGCTGCTTTGCGAGAGACAGTTAGCAGCCAACAAGCATCAATACAGGATTTGTATACAGAATTGGAGGAAGAGAGAAATGCCTCATCCACGGCTGCTACTGAGGCCATGTCAATGATATTGAAGTTGCAGAGAGAGAAGGCAGAGATCCAAATGGAGGCAAGGCAATTCAAGCGTTTTGCTGAGGAGAAAATGGCACATGACCAGCAGGAGATAATGGTTTTGGAGGATCTGTTGTATAAGAGAGAGCAGGCTATTCAAGCTCTTACTTGTGAAGTGCAGGCTTACAAGCATAGGATGATGAGTTATGGGCTTACAGAGGCAGAGGCTGAAGGTGAGAAGGATGGACACATTCGGAATGTGTCTGAGAACTTTGGTGCCCAAGTTGATCTTCCTGCGTTGGATTATCCACCTCTAAAATGCAGTTTGAATGAGAATCCTGGTGATGATGTTGAACATGTTGAGAAATATGCATTCGGTGAGACCCCTCATGCCCATGAGCACTTGAGGAATCTGGAACAGAGGATCTTCCAAATGGAGAGGAATCCCAGCAGCAGTCAGCTGAGTCAGCTGGATGGAGATTTTCCTGGAACAAAGAATGTTTTGGAGAAGGTAATAGTTGGTCACTCTCCTAGGCGACCAAGACATTCAATGGGGCTTTCAACTGATAGTTCAAATTCATTCCTTGCTAAAGAGATCGGTTCAGAGTTTACTGGTGATTCTCCCAGGTTTAATACTAATTCTCCAAGGTTTAATACTAGCTTCAAGAAGATGGAATTCGTTTCAGAACTGGATGAGATTTCCAGTTCAAGGAGAATGGGTAATGCTTCAGAAGTTGGAGATGATATGAGTGACAGAGTTTATACTATTGACTCTGTCCATAATGGGGTGCCATATAATGGAACCTCTGAGTCCAAACCTGCAGTTGAAACTTTTGATGATTATGCATCCTCACCAAGAGAGACATTTAATCTGCCTGATGTTTGTGATCCTGATATCAAGAAGCTCTACATGAGGCTTCAGGCCCTTGAGGCTGATAGGGAATCAATGAGACAAGCAATAATATCAATGCGAACTGAGAAAGCACAGTTAGTATTATTGAAAGAAATAGCTCAACATTTGTGCAAGGAAATGTCACCAGAAAGACAAGTGATTGTGAGGAAGCGATCTATTCTTGGAAACCTTCCGTTCATGTCAGTCTTCAAGGTAATATTCGTTCGCATAAAGTGTATTTTTTTTAATATATATTACACAGTCTAGTTCTGTTATTTTGCATTATTCAATTGCACGTTGCTTTATTATTTGGCTTCAACTGTCTCTCTCTATTGTTCGACTATGTGAGTACCCAGTGCTTTCTGTATTAACTTTTTTTTTTTATTTGTAATGTTTTACATGACAGTTGAAATAGCAGAAATATACTGTTCTAAAGGTGTTTTCCAAGATGAATTGCATATTTAGGAGACTAATGAACAATATCTTAAAGCTGCCTACCTATAGAGGGCTATGCGGAAATAAGCCACATATTTAATTACTTTGCTTACATAAAGAACAGAAATAATGAAGGCCATCATCTGGTTGTGTCTTGTCTATAGGTCATTTCTCCGCCATCATCTTACATCCTTTGTTGCATCAAAAGCCTGCTCCTTCTGTTTGCTACTCATATCTGCATTCATGTAGCACTCATTGACAATGTTTTTACCATTTTTTAATTTCATTCAGTTACTCATTTTGTCCACTGAATTCTGGTTGGTATTAATTTTAGTTCGTGTATAGCAATCACCTGTTGAAGATTCAAATTTGCTGTCACGTAGCTACTTTTAATGTTTGTCCAAGTTTGATGCAATAGAAGTTGGATGGAGCAAGCTTTCATGAACAAGTTTTTTTTTTCTTTTTACCTTTTTAATATCAACTTTCTTTCAATTGTTTTGTTGAATTTTCTTACCTGAAACCCCATTACATTGTTGGAAGCATCATAAACAGAATACACGATAATCTTTCATCAATAGAGCTATTCTACGTTTTCCATAACCTGAACATCCCTGTATTTCTTTTGATGTATTTCCACAGTGCCACTTAAAGTTTATTGTCTTTTGATTTTTTTTTCAGTGGTTTGTATCCTTTTTTTTCTGGAGGTGGAAAGCTCGTCGACGCAAGTAAGTAGAATATGTGTTATATACATAGTTATTGTTGGGTTTAATCTATGTCTTAAAACTGACATATTTTGGTTTCTCTGTTTTTATCCCTATTAATAATTTATCTAAAGGCAGGCATTATTAATTAAAACTAACCAACTTATTATTGCATTTTACAGCATAGCAAAATCAAAATAAACTTTTCTGGTTCAATAAGCAAAGAGAAAGAAATTCTGTCTCTTAACATCTATCATTTAAGGCAGTAGCATTTTAATAGTTGACCCTGAAACAATAGAGATGAGGGTGTAAGGAGGGACATGCACTTGGATACATAATTATTGTATTTTATATTGGAAATTGACATTGAAGTTTATCAGCATATTTTATTCTAGAGAAATGTTAATGATGGTGTTTGATTCATTTTTGTTCATTTTCTTTAATTATATAGGTACCTGTATGGATTGTCACCAAACAATGTTGGGTTGCTAATGCTTTTAGACAAGGGCCCCCAACTGAGGCAGTGGAGATGCCTTTTAAGTACACAAGTGTGAAAATGATTCTTTTACTTCCATGTCCAGATGAAGCCCTATAATCTTTATTGTGAATGCTGTATGGGTTTGATTGAGCTATCATGTGTAGACTTTGCATCCAATTTTTATGGATTCATTGGTGCAGAATTTGGTATATTGTGCAGTGTACTTTTATTTTACTTTTTTTTGGGAGATTGAATACATTTTGCTGCTTGATCAGCAAAGCATGGATGCTGTGAGCATACTCGTTCACATAGTTTGTTGGATTTCAGCTTGAGGTATTTGTCTTTTGGCGATCTCCTGTATATTTCTGATTCTTATATGATTCTTATTCAAGTATGCAGTGTTTATACTTTTCCAATTCAAGCAAAGGTTAGTTTGCAAAATTATTGATGCTATTCTCATCAAGATTCTTGTTTTAGTTGCTTGCTTTTTCCTTTGGCTATACTTCCTGCTTCATATATTTCTTTTCTTTGAAGGAAGAAAAAGAGGAAACATAGATTATAGAAGAAATATCTCAAAGAACCTTTGGATTCGGAAACTTTGACAAGTTAATTCTTATAGCTGTTAATTTTGCCTCTGACATTGTATAGATGTGCTAGTCTTAGGACCATGTCTTATTTTACAAATTCGATGCCACTGTGGTAGAGCAAGAGGTTAGCATTGATTGCCTTTTTCTAATTTCTGCTTCTAGATAAATAATTGATATCTCAAATCTGTAATGTTAGTTGGTAAGATTACTCAAACTTTAAATTTTTTTTTGGCACAAAGAGATCACATCTTGAGGATTAAAAAAAAGCTCGTTGGAGTTGAAATTTGAGTTTTAAATTTATTGGATGTTATCTCTGAAGGGTGACTGCTTGAACTGAGTGTTATGTATATTCACATAAACTTTAATTATTGCTTACGCTTTACGTATAATTGTAGGGTTGGAAAACATACTGATCAGACAGGTACATGCACAAACACAGATATGTGAAAAGGTTTAGTTTTTAGGTCATCAGTTAGCTGCATCTAAATTGCCTGCCTGTGTGAATTTTGTCTGTGTTAGAACTTTTGCAATGTGTTTTGTCCGTCCTCTTTTGGAATGGCTTCTGGATTTGTGCATTTGTTTTTGATCAAGGGTACTTTCTTTGCCCCCAAAACCAGCCAAACTAGGAATGCAGGAGGAAACTGCCCAAATCATAGCCAAAATCAATGACCCTTTCAAGTAAAACATCATATCATATCATTGAAGCCTCATTCAAACTTGTCAGCCTAGATGCAATTGACAAATACTTTGGAAGGGGGCATGCATAAAATAATAAATGAAATCGTCCAATCAAGTTCCATGCTTAACAAGTATTTTACTAGTCGGTTTGCTTGCCGTCTTCTATCAGGAAAAAAAAAACGTTTATAATAAAATAATTCTTCAACTACATCGGTAAGACACAACCCAAAATGGGTTATCACCAGACCTACGATTACTTGTCAATTTCTTTTTAGTTGCATGCTGAGCATATTCATGTTTAATTGTCAACTATAATCATGTTTTGCTCTGACACTTCAACCCTTTTGTAAAGCCTGCATCAAGAGATTTATATATGCTTTAGATATGTATAAACTACACAAAATTCTTTCATAATATACAGAAAGTTCTTTTTTTTTTATAAAATGTGTTTACATTCTGTGTTGAATATTTCAGACTCAAATAAGAAGTGATGGGCACTATGCTAACGTCCAAGAGGGAGGCATAACAACTGAAACATAAAATATATATTTTCCTTTCCAAACCTCTTTCACCTCAACTATTGAAGTTATGCCTGGCTAAATTAGAATTTGGTCCTGCTTTCAGTCATGCAAAATGGAATTAAATTTATTAAAATCAACTATCATAAAATATCTTATTCATATTATAATGGATGCAATAATTTCTCCTATTACAATTCATGCGTGTCTAGGTTTAGCAACCTAATCCGTTCCAGACAGATTTTGACCCAATCCAATCAATTAGGGTCGAATTTTTTTTTTTTAAATAAGGTGACTAGGTTGGATAATAACAAAAAAAAGTTGGGATAGGATTTTAGACAAACCTGACATGATATATATATAATTTTTTATTTTTTAATTATTTATTTAATTATATATATTTATATATATTTAATTTTATATTTATATTAAAAAATAATATTTTAAATTAAAACAATAATATTTTATTAATTTTAGGTTGGGTTAGATACAGTTTATACAATATCGAATCAGAGATAAGGGAAAAAATCTTCAAATTAAATTTGAGTATTATGAGTATAAAATCGAGTCAAATTTGAAACAAGCAAAAACTTTCTTCAATCCAACCTATTGCCATTCCTATGCATTTTTTTTTAAATCAAGTTTCGAGTTGGGTTAAGTAATAATAAAAAAAAGTCAATGTAGAATTTTAGGTAAATTTGATTCGATATTTATAAAAAAAAATTTATTTTTAATTAATTATTTAATTTTATGTTATATATATTTTTATATATTTAATTTTATATTTATATTAAAAATAATATTTTATTAATTTAATGTTGAATCGAGTACAATTTATACAATATTAAGTCAGGTAAAGGAGAAAAAAAACTTTCAGATCAGATTTGAGTATTATGAGTAAAAAATCGAATCGAATTCAAAATAAATAAAAATTCACTTTGACCCGACTTGTTATCTCTGTGCATATTTAACTTCACATTAATAAAATAATTCATTAGAATAATAGTATAAATTTATATCTTAAGTAAGATTTGGAATGAAACATAAATTTATACATCTTGAATTTGATCAATAAAGACGATTTAACTTGATTAAATCCTATAAGACGATGCAAATAAATATATGCATGGGGTATATTTTAGGGTTTATGAAGTATAACTTTATCGGCATAATAATTTCTTCGGAAAATTGAAATTTGGGCCAAATGTTTTCGGTCTCCAAATGGGCCTTCGTATCTGAGAACTGTCCAAAAGTTCATTTCCATTTTTAAAGAGAAACAAGGCACTTCTCACAGCAAAACCTTTATAATATCCCCTTCTTCTCTCTGCACCTCAGAGCAAAAACCGTAAACAGTGCTAAGCTGTAGCGGAAATTTACTGTCCCATACCTTAAAACGGAAAAGCAAAACGAAAACTAAGAACAAAACCAAAACTATTTTAAAAATCAACAAAAATGTTTCAAGAAAACTAAAATTCATTGCCAAAGAAGAAGAAGAAGAAGAAGAAGGATTCAACCTCAAATCCTCAGCTCCATCAAACTCTCATGGGGTTCGGCCATTGGGAAACCTTTACTTCAATCTAGGCTCTATTAACTCAAGAAACACTGGCTTAGGTAATCTCCAAATCCTGTCTGACGAGCTTGTTCTTGAAATTCTGGGCCTTTTGGAAGGAACCCAGTTGGGAGTTTTAGCCACTGTTAGCAAATCTTTTTATGTTGTCACTAGCCATGAACCCCTTTGGAGGAATCTTGTATTGGATAATCTAAAGGGAGGGTTTTTGTATAATGGGTCATGGAAAGTTACTTACATTACTAATTTTTATCCTTCATCTGATGTTTCCCGGGGCACCTGTTTTTCAGGTTTGAGAGTAAGGGATTTTTACTCTGATTATTTGTTTCGGAGTTGGTTATGTGCTAATCTTGAAATGAAATCAGAATGGCTTGAAAGAGATAATATAATTCGAAAAATAAGGATTAGTGGGGAGGATTTTGTGATGAATTTTGAAGAACCCAATAAGCCGGTTTTGTTGGAAGGGTGTATGGATAATTGGGATGCATTAGGAAAGTGGGACAGAGATTATTTGGTTAGTTTATGTGGTGGTGTTCAGTTTTCGGTTGGACCAGTGAAGATGAGGCTAGAGGATTATTTTAGCTATGCAGATCAAGTTAAAAGGAGAGAGGCCATTGTACTTATTTGATCCAAACTTTGCAGAAAAAATTCCCACTTTGGGGTCGGGTTATGAAGTTCCAGTGTACTTCATAGAGGATTTGTTTAGTGTGTTGGGCAATGGGAGGCCAGACTATAGGTGGATTATAATTGGACCAGCTGGGTCTGGTTCATCCTTCCATATTGATCCTAATTCGACATCTGCTTGGAATGCAGTGATCAGAGGATCTAAGAAATGGGTTCTTTTCCGGCCTGATGTGGTTCCTCCAGGGGTGCACCCGAGCCCAGATGGAGCTGAGGTGGCATGTCCTGTTTCAATAGTCGAGTGGTTCATGAGTTTTTATGGTGCAACAAAGAATTGGAAAAAGAGACCTATTGAGTGTATTTGTAAGGCTGGAGAAGTGATCTTTGTGCCTAATGGATGGTGGCATCTAGTGATTAACCTAGAAGAATCCATTGCCATTACACAAAACTATGTTAGCAGGTATTACTTTTCTTTTCTTCACTTTCTTTTATTCATTAGTTTATTCCATGGTTTATGAAGACTCATTAACTATAGTCTCTCTGAGTTTAATTTTGACATTAGTAGTGAAGAATCAAATCTATTTTGACCATTTTGAAGCTCATTTGACAATTGACATGGACTTCCAACAGGATTAAGTGCCTATCTGAAGAATACATGTAGAATCCAGGAGTAATAATTTTTGGCCATTCCTCAACATTCAAAATAGCATGTGGAATTGGTTATGAATTGAATTCAATTTTGAAGCTTGGCTTTAGAACATTGTTGTAGTCATTATGATATTCTGAGTGATAAAAAAAGAAGGGTAGCATTGCCTGGTATAGATAAGCACAACATAGCAGACATCAAGTTTTTGTTGAAGAAATTAAGGTTATTCTAGCTTAGTATCGCTAATGACTATTTAAAGTTTTGTAAGGACTAGTTTCTAATTTGAATCTCTTTCTCTCAGCATCATAAACATAATATTCCTTTATATATTTCTCTGAACTTACCCGGACAAGCCTTAAATCAATTGGAAACAAAGATGGGTACTGTTTGGGAATGTTATAGGAATAAATTTCACAGAAAGCTCAAAATAAGTAATTATGAGTACTGCAAGGGCCTCTCCATGTCATGTGTCTAACTCTAAATATTGCTGTGGGCACATGAATTTGTTGTAGTCGCTGCCATGGCACCAAACTATCTTCTTCTTATAGCATTCCCAACAGACATCAGTTACTGTACTTTTCATTCTATGATGTTATTTTGAAATAGATACATGAGGCTAAATTCTATTGAAGCATCAACAAAAGTTGATCATCTCTGTAATCTCACTGCGATAATAGTCTCACTGTCATTTAACATCCTTAACTCACCTTTATTGAGTACAGAATTATTTATGCCTTTGATGTCTGTGAACCTGGCCTCCTATGTGATTATGAACTTCTCCTCTGCTCCCTAGGTGAATTACAAGTGGTAAATGGTGCTGGTAATGTTTATTTAAAGAAAGAAAAAGATTCTTATGCTTAATCATTTGTGCTTTAGATACTTTTCTCCCTCCATTTCTTGCATGATCTGTAACTGATGAGTTCACATTCTTTCTTCATTTCTTTATTTTTTGAAGGGTGGGGGGAGGGGGGGTGGAGATAGGGGATACCCTTTAAGTACTAATGGATTCATTTTCCCCCCTTTTAACACACTTGTTAAAGTGCTCCATCTTTAGTTGCAGTATTAGCACATTTAGAACTAAAAAGCTCGGTAAAAAATTAGTTATGTTTAGTGGTTCACATGAGTTGTTTATACATAAAAAAAGCCGGGGTTCAACAACAACAGGGTTCATAGACTCAAAACTACTGGTTCTGGGATATACACTTATTAAAAACCTCAAAGAAAGAAAGTCCAGGGCAATATGTTATACATAACAAAATCAGCTTCCATGGTAGTTGCATTCTTAGCAAGGATGACTGCACAGGCATTCCCTCCGTGATAGATGTGCCTTACCACTTGGATCTGCACCTGGTTCATGAGGCATCTGCATCATCCAAGAAAACACCAAGTGAGTGTTTTAGAGTACTGGTAGAATTCAACATATGGATAACCATCTGTGAATCCATTTCAAGGAAGATGCCTAGGGTGCAAGTTGGGCAGCTGTCGATAGACTAATTCTAATGCCCCATATGCTAGTAGTTATGCCTAATCTTCTTGAGCATCCGGCAATGAACCTACCCTCATGATCATAGATGAGGCTATATTATCTTTAATTAATTTGTATATGGCTTGCATGAGTCATTACTCGTTAGAGAACATTATAATGTGGTAATTTTGAGTTTTCTGTTTTGGGCTGTTCTCTGTGCTGTCTTAACTATAAAGTAAATAGTAGATAATTCAACAGCATTATTCTAACAATAGTTTGAATTTTGTGATATTTATCTTCTAAACAAATGAACAAGTTGCATATTATGAGAAGAAAAGGAAAAGATCACAGATACTTGTTTCTTTTTTTTCTATTGCAGGAGAAATTTGTTGAACGTTCTAGATTTTCTTAAGAAGCCAAATGCTAGCGAGCTTGTTTCTGGGACAAGAGACAGAATAAATTTGTATGAAAAGTTTAAGAATGCTAGAGAGGCATCTTTCCCTGGAACAATTGATGAACTGACAGTGAAAGCAGAGGAGAAAAAGGCACGACAGAAAAAATTGTCATTCTGGGATTCGGTGACTGATTCCAAGGTGGGTGCTTTCAAGTTTTCTTTCTAAAGGAACCACCCTCAAGGCCACCAGAGAATGGCAAGAGATCAGACAACTAGATTGCAATTGGCATTGGTGTCATTATACGGATGAAAACAGTCAGTTCAGGCTTCCAGAAAAGAATGACTTATTCAAAACAGTTTTGACATTAATTAATTTTACTATGTTGTACAATTCTTTTCTATAACACTAATGCCATTGCTCTCTACTTGAAACTGTTAATATTGATTGTTCAAAGCAAGCTGCTATAACATTTGAATGAGAAAAAAAAAAAAAAAAGCTGTTATGATGGTATGGTGGAAAGGCCCTCATCATAGAACCTATGAACTTTCATTGATTGACCTCAACTTTGCTCAGCATTAAACAAGCATAGAGCTGTTTTGTTTATCATTCAACAACTTAATATATAGCATGTCCAATCATGGCTGTAATTGTGTTTTATCTTAAAAAAAAAATTGGAGTGATCAAGCAATGAGAACCATAATGAAAAGAATAAATATATATGAACCCGGGAGACCGTGACTTCTCTTTTCAATCAACAAAAGAGTAATCTTCGCAGAACAAGAGACAAATGAGCATTTCCGATGGATGATGATAAAGTAATGCAAGTAACTTTCCATGACTCGTTATACAAAAACCCTACTTTAGATTATCCAATACAAGATTCCTCCAAAGGGGTTCATGGCTGGTGAAAACATAAAAAGATTTGCTAACAGTGGCTAAAACTCCCAACTGGGTTCCTTCCAAAAGGCATAGAATCTGGGTTGTGTCTAAACATCTTCGTATCAGAAAATGAATGGTAGTAGCAGCAGCTGCAAAGTGTTAAACACGCTAAAGCTAAAGAACCCGAAACTTCTGTTACTAGAATCCTGCAAGAACTTCTCTCAGCTGAAAATCATCCATGGTCATATGATAAGAACCCATATCATCTTTGACATCTTCGCCGTTAGTCGTCTCATTTCCCTTTGTACAGACCCTTCTTTTGGAACAACCTTATTAGATTACGCTTACAAGGTTTTTTCCCAAGTTGAAACTCCCAATCTTTTCATTTATAATGCTTTGATTAAAGGGTTTTCAGCTAGCCCAAACCCAAATAAGGCCTTCCATTTTTACTCCCAATTATTACGTGCAAACATTCTTCCTGATAATCTCAGCTTCCCATTTTTAGTCAGGGCATGTGCTCAGTTAGAGTCCCTTGATATGGGAATTCAAGCCCATGGACAAATAATAAAACATGGCTTTGAAAACAATGTTTACGTACAGAATTCTTTACTTCACATGTATTCTACATGTGGGGTTATAAAGGCAGCAAATGCAATATTTCAAAGAATGTCTTGTTTAAATGTGGTTTCTTGGACTTCAATGATAGCTGGATTTAATAAAGTTGGGGATGTTAAAATGGCCCGTAAATTGTTTGATAAAATGCCGGAGAAGAACTTGGTTACTTGGAGTATAATGATTAGTGGATATGCCAAGAACAATAATTTTGATAAAGCTGTTGAATTGTTTCAGGTTCTTCAGGAAGAAGGGGTTAAAGCTAATGAGACAGTTATGGTTAGTGTGATTTCTTCTTGTTCTCATTTAGGTGCTATTGGATTAGGTGAAAAAGCTCATGAGTATATAGTTAGGAATGATTTGAGTTTGAATGTGATTCTTGGGACAGTTTTAGTGGATATGTATGCAAGATGTGGAAGTATTGAGAAAGCTATTCGAGTTTTCCAGGAACTACCAGAAAGAGATGTTCTCAGTTGGACAGCTCTTATTGCTGGATTAGCAATGCATGGTTGTGCAGAGAGAGCACTTTTGTTCTTCTCAGAAATGGTGAAGTCAGGATTAAAGCCCAGAGATATTACGTTTACAGCTGTGTTATCTGCTTGCAGCCATGGGGGATTGGTAGGAAAAGGTCTAGAGTTGTTTGAGAGCATGAAAAGAGATTATGATATTGAGCCTAGGTTGGAACATTATGGTTGTGTTGTAGATCTGCTAGGTCGAGCAGGGAAGTTAGCAGAAGCTGAGAAGTTTGTGCTTGAAATGCCTGTAAAGCCTAATGCTCCTATTTGGGGTGCACTGCTTGGAGCTTGCCGGATTCATAAAAATGCAGAAATTGCAGAAAGAGTAGGAAACATATTGATCCCTCTGCTACCAGAACACAGTGGCTATTATGTGCTTCTCTCAAACATTTATGCACGCACAAACAGGTGGGGAAATGTTGAGAGTTTGAGACAGATGATGAAGGAAAAAGGAGTTAAAAAGCCACCAGGTTACAGTTTGATCGAGGTAGATGGGAAAGTTCATAACTTTACAATGGGAGACAAATCACACCCTGAAATAGACATGATAGAAAGAACATGGGAGGAGATTCTTAAGAAGATAAGATTGGCAGGTTATACTGGGAATATGTCTGATGCATTGTTTGACATTGATGAGGAAGAAAAAGAAAGTGCTCTTCACAGACATAGTGAGAAGCTTGCTATTGCCTTTGGGATTATGAGAACAAAGGCTCCAATGCCAATTCGAATAGTGAAAAACTTACGAGTATGTGAGGATTGCCACACAGCTACCAAGCTGATTTCCAAGGTTTTTAAGCGTGAGTTGATTGTGAGAGACCGAAACCGGTTCCATCATTTCAGAGAAGGTTCTTGTTCTTGCATGGATTACTGGTAAGATCATATAATTGATGGAGTATCATTTGATATGAACTATTTCCCCTCTTCCTTCCCCACCTTGATTTTCCTTTTTTTTTTTTGTGTTTTGTTGTTTAAAAAAATATATTTCTTCTTCGTAGAATTTACCAAGTAAAATTTTGATAAATTTATCATTTTTATGCTGCATTTGTGTCCAACAGTTGCTCAAAAAGTCTTTCATAACCCAATCTCTTATGGGTCATTGATAGGAACATGATTCGTCCCAAGTTTGAAGCTGTCTTCCAACCAATAATTACACTTGATTAAATAAGAATATACAAAGAACAAATTACAATTGGCAAAAAGAAATCAGGGAACGGAGCATCAGTAAGCAAACATAGTTTTCTCCAGAGATCATGAGTATTAAAATGTCATACAGGGGAGAGAGACACTGTATATGAACCGTTGCAGTAGCTCAAGCCCTTTACTAAACCTGAATGCAAATAAGGGGAAACAATAGCTTCTGGAATACCGAAGGCATAGGCCATTTCTTGTGAGTTTTCACCAACTGTAGCTTCACTATCAGCTATCTCACAAACTGCCCCAAGAGCAATATTTAAGCCAACTGAAGTATGCTCCGTTGTAAAGCTGAAAACCACACAAATAAGATCAGACAAATAAGTAGCTAATGGCATAGTTTATTTGCATCCTAAGCTTCCCGATTTTGAGAAAAGGAAAAAAGAAAAGACATATAACTTAATATCATCCCTAACATTAGTTGATAACTTCAAGTGAGTTCAAAATGAAGAACAAAAATTGTTCAGCAAGGTTTAATTATTGATTACCTTGGCAATTGTAGCTAGGAAGTTTATATGATCCATTAAGGTTACACTTAAACGCTATAATACATGTTAAGAAATCTGATATATGATCCATTAAGTTTATATTATACCTTGCTTCAAAGCTTCGTCCTTCAGAAGCTATTAGAGCGCATATGTTGCTGATAATCCAAGGGGGAATATGTGAAGCCTTGATTTCAAGGCCATAGGTAAGGCCAGCAGATGAAATTGTCATGGAATGACTGTCTTTCAAGGTGGATCCTTGGGGAAGAGCAGTACCATGATCAGCTCTTTTAATCTCCATACATCTAACCTGGATATCAAAATTGACATAAAAATATATAAACCTGGTCTTGCAACAAGTGGCACTATGATCAAGTTTTCTGTGCCAATGCTTATTTTATATCAAGAAAAATATGATGTTTATATCAAACAGCTGTCTATGGCAACCTAAAGGTAACAAGATGTCATGCATAAGAGGATTATAGCATTTATCAAGGGCAATGACACCAGATTAGGTGATTGAACAAACAATTAGAATTTACAACCAACAAAGGGTAACAGAGGGACAAAAATCTTGTTTATGGCAACATCACTCACCTCTGGAGCAGAAAGAGCAGCATTTTGAAATGGCACCCCAGAGTACAGAACAGGAACATCCACGGCATTCAAAAAAGTCAGGAAAGATCTAAAGATGGTTAGAAGGAAAAATAGTCAGATCCAGAGGCAAAAGAATGCAGATACGGTAACTACTATACTATATATTTCAACCTTGTCAAGTGAAATCTTGAGAGCATACAGCTCAATTTACTGAACAAATTATCTTTTGAATTGAAAAAGAAAAGGAAGTGTAACTTACCTATAATTCAACAAAATCTCGTACAAACCATGTACATTCTGATTCCCACAGAAAGCCAGCAAAGACTGTGGAGTATTATCAACATCAGAGAAGGAATTCATGCGTCGAGTCTGCAGTAATTTCAGCAAATAGTGAAATGAATAATTGAGCACAAGAAAAATGAATAGATAATAACATTGAGCAAAGGGATACAATAGTTACACCAAAGCTACCTTTCAGTTTAAACATTCTCTTTAGAAACAGAAATTACTGAGGAGATGAATGCAAGGAACCATTATCCTTTAGTTAGTGAGTTTCTAAGAGTGCTCAGTGGTAACTGGAAATATTTCTAAATTTATTTTTGAATTTATGCCACAAGTTAAAGAATACTGATTTATGGAATTGGGAAGTGGTGCAGGAGTGGAAAGGGGGAAACTAAAAGGAAAATGGAAGGAGAAACAAGAATACAGCACATTCAGATCAAAACTCTCTTATCCTTTTCAGGAAACCAAATAATTGTTTTATCCAAACAGTTAACCATTCCAGAACTATAGCAGGAGGAACAGGATCAACTTCTCAGCTGAAGTATCAAATTGATGGTCTGGTTTTTGACGTCTCAAAATATTGCACCAAAAGGCATCTTATGGTCCACCCGAAGGTATGAATTTCAGTCAAAAGCCAAATCACTCAAGCTATTAGCATAAAAGATGTACAAACCTGGCCCAAATTATGCTTCTCAATTTCTGAAAGCTCTACCAGATCCTCAGTAGTCACTTGTTCTACTTGAGATTGGCAAAGAGGCATAGAAAACGAAACATCCTAGGAAACATTATTCAAAACCAATTGAGGAGAAATTATAGCATCAGACATCAATGAAGCATGAAAATTAATCAAAATGGCTATGAAAATGACCAGCATAGAAGTTGAATATATTTTCAATTAAAATAATATAGCATAAATACATAATCAGCTGATTGATGCAACATCTATAGCTTCCTGAAAGAAAGAGGCCGAACAAATGACACAGACAATCTCCTATTCCTCAAATGACCTCTTCTGCAGTCACAAGTTGGGTTGGCAACAGATTATCAGTTTTCTGTCTTTAGAAATCTAAAAACCAATCTCTATTATGTCTTCTTGTGTTTCTAAAACAAGCAAAAGTCTGAACTAGCAACCACATAAAACCAAACGGCATACATATTTGTAGAGTCAGCAATAACTTCTCTATGGTGCTGACATTAGCAAAACTCACTTTTTCAAAAGTTATAGCTTTAAATACTATCATTCTGCAGTTTATCTGTATACCACTGCAAGAAAACTGCAATCCAATCCCCATATCTGTAAAACTGTAGCTGGATGTGTCAAAAGAGGCATCTTAAAGATCTCCACCTCAACACCGCTGCTTAATAGATTATTTATGAATTGGTTCAAAGTACCATTAAACAAACTTTAATTTCATTACATCTGAAAGAGATAAAAGAAAATGGAATTTAGGATGATAAATACGCATTGATAGACTAGAATAATCACTTTCATACAGGAAATGCCAACAACAAGCTATATGAGAAACAAACCACTTGCCATCTTTGCAGTTAATATCATGTGACCAGGATATCTTTAAAGAAATTAAAAGGCCATGTTCCTTGTAATCATGATTACGAGCACTAGGCAATAGCTTAATAGTTAAGGGTTGAATCTTACATGCTCTTTCAGTGACGACCTCAAACCTCTTGTTGACTTGGAGATATAGGCATGACATGATCTGCTTCTTCCCAAACCATCAGCAGAAGTAAACATCACCACAAAATGTGAAGTGCACACTAGAAAGTTTCCAACAAAACCATTACCAAGATATAGTTTCATACTTTTAAACAAATTAATGTAAGTGAGCATTACACACCAACAAAAAACTTCACACACAGTTCACAGTCATCAAAAGAAGAAAAGGCAATTTGAAATCAAGGACAAAACCAAGTGTCTAGAGTCTTGGTAGATGGAGAGGCCGTGTATATGTTCTTTAAAAAAATAACTCAGTAACCCACAGCAAATATGTCCCCTGCATGCATATGCATGAGATGGGCATGGCACTTACCGACAATGTAACACAAGCAAAATCAAATTGAACAATAGAAATGCAAGCACTCCTGGGCATGCAGTTATGTACATGTGTATGTGCGTGAAATATATTTGCTTAGATATTCTCATGCCAAGACAAAACATCGTCCTAGGACTTGGCTCAATCAACACTGCAGGAAGATAGGAACATGGGTCCAAAGTTGTATAATAGATAAGGAAAAAGTCATAGGCATGAAAAAATATTTACCATAAAAGATGCTACAAACATTTTCCCGAAACATATAGTAAAGACTCCGAAATGACTCCTCCCATGCCCTACGTCGCTTTCTTAAGAAATCCATTTCAACTGGAGACAAGGGACAACATCAGTTAGAGACCTTCAGATAGGGGGAGAAACGATGGGGAAGGCACAATCTGGGCATGTGTGTGTTTGTGCGCACACAAGGAGGGTTGAGAGAGGGAATTCAACTCAAAAGTTTCATTTAACAAACCACCATCAGCTGCAGCTGAGACCAATATTGAAATGAGAGATGGTGGTAAGGTAGATTGAGGATAAACCCATGAATGTAATGCTTTAGAATCCAACACTTGGGAAGCCAGTCTGGTCTGTGAAGCACTGCCAATATTTTGATCGTCAGAACAACCAGAATGGGGTGTAAATTGAGGCATACCATTGTATGTACCAGACATCATTGACCTATTTAACCTGGAATCACCAAATAATATAAAGTTACGTAAACAAGCAAAATAACAAATCCTGCAAAACAAGACAGGCACTTATCAAGGAGGCCATGTAAACAAACATGATTTGATGATATATAAAAGAGGAACTTATCCCAGGAGTGACTTTATCTTTAGTAGAGGAAATATAGCAAAATATATGACAAAAAATAACAGGTTTATTCACCAATTCAATGAGGAGGAAGCCACCAATCGCATATAAGTTTTCAAAGTAAAATCCAGAGGAATCTTCTGGCCTGTCACATGGAATTCAGAGCAGAAGTTTCCAGTTGAAAGATCATCAAATCTTTCAGAAGACTCAGGTGGTACATTCAGGATTGCTTCACAAGCAGCTAGCCCTTTCAATGCTTTATCCTACAAATAATAATAATTGGTGGTTTATTTTTTAAAAAATAATAATAATTTAATAATCAAAGCTTGAAGCAGCTAAAAGCATATACCATGTCAACAGTTGCTAAGCCTGATAAATTTTGACCTCCTGATGAAAGCTCTGTAACACTAAGAAATGTACCCTGACTACATTTTTCAAGCATCCGATGGGCATTAAGCGCATCATCTTTTGGAACATCAACAGAAGCAACAGAACTCTCTGGACTGCAAAACAACAACATATAACCAATAAAATCAAAGAATAAATCTACTTATAATGCGCCAGGTATGGGATAATAGGATTGACAGACATACCATGAAAGTTGTTTCCTTCTCTTGGTAACCAAATTTGAAAGTGCAGAGATTTTCTTTAGGCTGCTAGGTTGCTCAATGGAACGGTTTTCCTGCTAAGAGATAACATAATAGAATAAATCAATGAACTAGTTATTAACTTATGTGTACGGAAAACTCTAGCTGCATCAAGACATCTCCATAAAATGCATTTTCTGGAAATGTAATAACCTTGGGATTTTCTTTTCCCAAAAGCAGGTTGAACCTTGATTTCTTGGCAGGATATACTTCATCCATACGGGTGTCAATATATCTTAGATTCCTTGGCAGATCTGGTTTTTTGAGTCCATTATCCATCTCACTAGCACTGCCAATGGAGAACAACAAAGTTTTCCGATAGTTGCAACTTAAAAAGAAAAAAACGAAAACCAATTGAAAACAAATGAGGAATAACAACACTTACCTTGGAGTCAAAGATTTATAAACAAGCTCTGCTACATTTGTCCGCTCTAACTGCTCTTCCTGTTATGTAAACATTTTATAAAGTATAAGACTAAACTATAATTCCTCAGAGAGCTTAACTAAACTGTGTTCCAATTAGCACTGGCTCCTCCAACTCTTAGCCTAAATAATGTAAACATGTTAGAACAGTAAACTAAATAATATACAAAGGTAAAATTGAAAAATAAAAAAAATTAAACACACACACAAGAGAACGCGCATGAGAAGGATGAAAAGATTAAATATCACACTCAAAGGTCTGATTTGGTAGAATTACGGAAGACTTAAAGAGGTAAACTGTTCTCTCAAATTAAAATCAAAGAAGCCATTGATTTAGTAATGAAAGAAAAAAAAAAAAAACCTAAATGCTAGAGACAAATGATAAATTTATTTTTTTAAGTAGTAACGCCATAGAATTATCAAAAAATCCTGCCCTCTAAACAATTACTATGAACTCAATCGTATTCATAACATATAACCCAAACCGAAATGCCGAATCCCAACCATGCTAATCTAAGTTAGAGAGGAAAAAAAATAATACTCTGAGTTCCGAAGGGGTCTTCCTTTTAACTGTTGGACCAACTTTGAGAGCATCGCCGCCAATTTGTAGCGAAGTAGAAGTTAAGGCACCATGGGCAGCTACCTTCGCCATACTCGCGAGTCCACTCAAACAATAATCGCGACTCCTTTACCTAAAAATAGCAATAGCAATAGCAATGCCAGCAATTATACCTTTTTTTCAATTATGAAAAAAGAAAAACAAATCATCGAACAGGATATGCGCATTTTGCAACTCATAAATTTAAAATCTTGGGAAAAAAAAGGAAAACAAACTTGCTGACAAATTCAAGTGGACTTGATATAACAATCAGAGTCAAATCAATAACTTACCTCCGTAAAGAAAAAATGGCCAAGAAATGCATCAATAGAAGAACCGAGAGAATCTGAGGGTACCCTAATCGGATACTAATCTAGGGTTTTGAAAAAGGATTTTGCTTTGCCCCAAAGGAGGAGAAGGGAGAGAGGGGGAGACAAAGAGACAGAAATTGCGGTAAAGTGGAGAGTGAAAATTTTTTAGTTTTATTGGTTTTTGAACAATTGGATTTCCCTCCTGCAATTGACGCCGTTAGTTCACCGTTTTAATGTGGCAGAGTGTCGTTAGTCCATATAATAATTTAAATTTTATATTTTAAAATAATTATTTTTATGTTCTTGAAATTTTTATATTATTATTAATTTATTTAATTTTTATTAATAATAATATTATTATTCATATTATTTAATTAATAAATCTTTTTATAAATTAAAAAAGTTTACCTATGCAAAGCGCCAACAGTCTGGCTAGTGTCAAAGGCGGCATCAGTTAAGTCCAAGGATGACACGGGGTTGGCTTTGCCTATTTTTGGATGCTGAGGTTTGGGATTTGTAACCTTATTCGGTGAAGATATCAAATTCCCAAGGACTTAGGCCCCTTGTTTTTGGAATGTATCGGGCCTATCTGTTGAATTTAAGGCCCAACAGTTTTATGTTCTTTTCTTTTCTTTTTCTTTTAACAATTTCCCCCTTGGATAATAGATTTTATAAGTTATGTTCTAATTCATTATTTAATTATTTAATATTGTTACTTAATTATAATGTAATAAATGATAATTCAATTGGTTATATGGATATAAAACTTATGATTAAAAAATTTTTTCCCTTGGATAATAATAGACTTTATAAGTTTGATAAATTGTGGTTGGATAAAAGTTATAATTAGAAAACCATAATGAAAAATTATTTTATATTCAAATTTTATTTTGGAAAATAAAAATTAATTTCATTTAGTATTTTGTTACTGTTCAAATTGTCATCAAATATAATATAACATCAAATTTATCCAAATTAATATATTTTGACCTAAGGTCGTTATTTGATCTTCTATTTTGAGTTTATAAGTAATACAAAGACTCAGATAAATTTTTTTAAAAAAAATTTTGTGAAATTTTTTATTGAAAATGATTAAATAAATATTAAAATAAAAAATCTAAATCAATAAATTGAAATTTTATGTAATTACATATATGAGTCTGCAAAATTTTAAAAGTTTTTAAAAAATTTTGATATATTTTTTAGATAATCTTACTAACTTTTAATTAATTAATATAAGCTGTTCTTTGCACAAAAAATTAAAAGAAAATTCAACTTATACATTATACAGAAAAAATAAAAACACTCAAAAGCCTATAAGTACCATATATTTTTGAGAATGATAAAAAGAACCCTAACAAGAAGTTAAGGAAATCCTAAAGTATTTTTGTATATTCAAATGTGTCAAGGTGAAATTAACTTCTAACAAGAAATGATTAGCATTGGAACATATGTTTTTATACACAACCTAAGAAACGCAACCAAGTAGGAGACAGTCCAAGAACTTGATCAGCAAAATCAACCTCATTCAAAGTCTTCATCATTTGATCTGCATCAAACAAATTATCTCTCTTTGTCGTGGTCTGCATGGATTCATCATCCCCTACCAAGTCACAAGAAGATGATGATGGCGACGACGGCAGGTTAATACAAGATTCGTTCGTTGAGTCCTTCCCTGTTAGGCGTTGCACCAGGCTCATGAACTCCTCCGGCCTAACATGGATAATCTTTGGTGACCTGAGATAGATTACAACAGGATTATTAACCAGCTGCTTGCTGCTTCGAGTTGGCTGATGATGTGATGATTTCTTAATCGTTTGTGAAGAGTTGCTAATCCTTAAAGGTGAAGGCCTAGGACCTTGCAATTCTCTTCCTCTACTGGAGTACTTGATTTCACGACTTTCACTGATAGAACTCATTAGGGAAAATAAGGGCTAAAGCAAATGTTCTTCTTTTCTTAGGGCTATAACAATTTTGGGGACTGAACTGATTTTGAGGTCAAGCTTTGTATTTATATATTGATAGTGCAGCAAGTAAGAAAGAGTCCACCCATAAAGGAGAACATTACTAGAAAATGCCAAAAAAGTTGGTCTGCTTTTGAATAGGTCTTTGTGTATTATAATAATATGGTGTTTTGGTAGAATTTGCCGGCTATGTTTTCAAGAAATTGTTTGTTTAAACATTGGTTGAACAATTAATGGCAATGGAAGGTGACAAATTCAGTCGAGTCAAAGTCATCAGCCAATTTTCTTTTCTTCTTTGATCCCAATCCCAAATTCCAAATATGTCAACCAACTTTACTTTGCTTTTCTTCATACAAGCTTGTGGCCTTGAGCTTTTTCCAACTGCCTTATGGCAAGAATGACAGAATTCAAAGTAGAGCAGCTTGAAAATGATCCTCAGCCTCAGCCAAGTGTTTGATTTACAGTATAAAGTATTCCTAACTTTCTTCTTTTCAATAGTACGGGATATTCCAACATCAATCCCTTCTAACTAACAAAAACATATTTATTATTAAAAATACAATCAATTAGCCAGTCACGAATTCAAAATTTATCTCAATTAATTCATACAATTATCTTTAAAAATTATCCAATTCTCGCATCCCAGCTTTCCTTTATAGAAAAAGTAATTAGCCTAGTCACCAAATGTATTCAGTCTCTGAATGCTTCTCCTGATGAGAAAATCCCCTGATCTCATCTATTAAAGATTAGATCCTTCCACTTTGCAAATATGAATATTCCAATAGAAAATATTATATTATATATATCATATATATATATATATATGATTGGCAAAATCAGTAATACAAGTCAACAGAAGGTTCTACTGATTCAGTATTATTTTTCACGATTAATATATATCTCAACCCCAATTGATCAGCCACCAGATCATGTCAAACCTTCTGAATCCTTCTCCTGATCGATGTCTTATAATTCAGGGCTAAGTCAGCTGATTTGTTAGTAACTATTAAGGTAGTGGACGTCTTCCAAGGATTCTTCTCTTTCCCATTTTGTCGTTTCCAACGGAGTCTATACTTTTACTGACGGCATTTTCTGTCGGTGATAATCATTTCTATTCTCCAATGTCAAAACTCAAAACCAAAGTTATAGTTTTCTTTTGCCTTTGGCTATATGTTTCAGCTGTTACAGATCTTGACCTAATGGTAGCAGTTTCATCATATATATATATATAGTCTTGTATCATTGAAAGGATGAAAAAATAAAGTAGGTCTATAATTTACAGTTGAGAAAAATAATGAAAGAAATTGGTTAGGATAAAGTATAAACTATGTCATAAATTGCATTAATCAATTCCATTTTGAACTTAAAAAAAAAAGAAAATTTTGAAACCCCAAGTGATCAACAAGATTATTATAAATCATTATTATTGTCTCGTTGTTTAAAGTATAGGACCGATTCACCTTTGATTTAGAAATAGTAACGAAAGTTTCAAAGCTGCTGTTTGACAGTAATTAGAAATGAAAATTGTAAATAACTGATGTTTAAAGAATGACTTTTTCTTTTTCGTAAAATATCAGATATCTTTACATTAGTATTTGATCAGTTCTCTATAGTCTGAACGTGTTCTTACCCACCCTGTAGGTTTTTGCCAAGTTCATTTCTTTTCTCTTTACTTGTTAGAAATTAATCTCCAAGTTCTTCATAAATTAATTGAACAAATATGGATTTTTTCTTTGAAAAAAAGATAAAGGTAAATCAAGATCATAAGATGGGTTTAAAAGAAATTAAGTTGGGGTTGAATTGAGACGGCTAAAAAAAGAATATTGTTGCATGTTTCTACAAGGTTTCTCATTATATTAAAAATAATAATATTTGTTTAAACTAATATTATTGTACAAATAAAGGTAAATAACCACTGACATTTCCTTCAAATTCTCAAATTAGCTTTCTTAGTAAATAATAATAAAAATTATTATTATTATTATTATTATTATTACTATAAAATAATAATAATGATAGAAGTGTGAGTTAAAAAAAAAAAAAAAAGATCATTCAGAATTTGAAATTAGTTAATCTTAAGCATTAATTATCATAAAACAATATCTATTTATGACCACTTTCTAGCTATAGTTGTTAATGATTGAATTTTAATTATTTAAATTAAGAAACTAACGCTAATGATAATTTTTTTTTTTTACAAATTAAGAAATATTTTCAATTACTTATTTTTCTAATTTGTTGAACAGATCAAATTTCAATAAAAAGTAACCTTAATGAAACATTTATTTGATTCATGTGAAGCATTATATATATCTCTAGATTTTTTTTTTAATAGAGGTATATATCTCTATTTAATTAGCTATTTGTAAGTGAAATAAATTACTAAGTTTTTCCTAAGATAAAGCAAGTAAGTAGTATTATATATTTAATAGTATTTTGCTAGTGAATATCCTAAGATAATTCAAGCCACTTAGAATTATTTCTTTTGTATTAAATACTATAATTAACAATTAATGTGATGATTTTCAATGTATGAGACGTAATCGTAATGATAACCTTAGTAAGTATCTTTGAACACTCGTTAACAAAATCATGTTTTTATTCAAGAAAAAAAAAAAAAAAGAAAACCAAGCCAAACAACACTGTCCTATGAAAGATCGAACAATATTATCAATCAAACCAATATATTAAAGTTGTTTTAGTAGGAATAATAACGGATTGAATCACATTAGATTCGATTCAATTTTTTTTATATTGTATTATATTATAAAATTTTAAAATATGATTTGAATATGAACCAAACCATCACATGATTCAAAATGAATTGAATTGAAAATCGAATTTTACCAGTTTAGTTCAATTTATTGGTTTTTAATTTTTAATTTTTTTATTATTTTAATATATTTAAGTTTTGATATAAAATTATTATTTTTATTTTATAAATATTTAAAATATGTATAAAAATTAAAAAATATATATAATTCGATTTGGTTCGTTTTTTTTTGTTTTATTTTTTGCCTTCTGTTTCAAACTTTATATATATATATTTAATATTTAAATTTAATTCGAATCAAATAAAAAAATCAATCTAAATCGAACCGAATATTACGATTTTGAATCAATTTTTTATTTTTTTGATTTATTTTCTTACCCTTAATTTTAAGCTACCTGCTGGACATTTTGGTGTAGACATATGTTCGGTGTTAAGGATGATAACGGTTTGGTTCAGATCGAATTTAATTGATTTTTTTGGATATTATATAATATTATAAAATTTTAAAATTCGATCCGAATTTGAACTGAATTTTCATTCGATCATAATCAAACAAAACCAAATTTTACTAGTTCAATTCGGTTTAGTTTATCGATTTTTAATTTTTATATATTATTTTAATATAAAATTTTAATATATATTTAAGTAGATTTTGACATAAATTATTATTTTTATTTCATAAAATTTTAAAATATATATAAAAATTAAAAAAAAACATATAATTCGATTCGATTTAATTTTTTTTAATATTTCACCTCTTGATTTAAATCTAATATATACATTTAATATTTAAATTTGATCTAAATCAAATAAAAAAATAATTTGATCTTAACTGATCATTACAATTTCAAATTGATTTTTAAAATTTTTGAATATTTTTCTAAACCCTATTGGGTGTTGTATTTGGGCTTTTGGTAAGTTTTTTTTTTTTTCAATTAGATTTTATTGGATTGGGTCGTGGTTTCTAAAAGGTTGGTTCATAAATAAAAAAGAAATTTTTCGCAACGCTCTGTCGCGTAGCGAAGCTTGCCCGAGACCAGCAAGGTACTCAATGGTACGGTACTTAATCTTGCTATGTTTACATACACATTGCTAGCATTTATTTTGGTACTTTGGCCAAGGTTTTGTCGTATCAATCAAGGCCAGTACCACATCTAGATTCTCCGAATGCTATGCAGAAATGAAATTACGGCACGTGATTTTGCAGGCAAGATTAATTGGCTTGTTGACAAGGAGCTAACGCACATGGAAAATGGAGACGAAGAAAGCTACATATACGAATGCATAGTTTTGCACTGACTCGATGGCGTGGTTCGCAGCTTTCCCCTGCCTGCCTTGACGAGTTAATAAAACAAAAGCTCTAAATATCTTGCAGAAATCGGACCACTTGCTGGTTAATTTTAGTTATCCTCTATTGGATGCCATGGCAAGAACGAGTGATTTTAACCTTTAACTGTTACCTAATTCACAGCGAAGGTAACATAATTGAAGGCAATTCTCACTCACTGAACTATTCATTTCCTGTTGAAAGTGAGATTTGATGGCAGATTCTTCGTACAACTACACAAATTTTAAACAACTCAATTAGTCAGACCAACTTTAACTAGCTGAAGAAGATGGATTTCATAGCATTTTATGGACAAGAATGATAACGACAACCTCTTGATACTTATCTCACAAGGGCCATGAAAATACAAAGAAAAAAAACAAGATCGACAAAGGGTTTTTATCATTTGCTTAAATTCTAAAAGATAAGTCAGAAATGTGTTTTTCAAGTGGAAGAATCATGAATCTCTTATAAATATAATTTGCCACCATTTACCATTTTTCATGTAATTACTGTCAATGATATTCTAATAATAGTCTGATAATATTTTAGATTGATGATATTATTTTAATAATATTTTTAGTAATATTTTAGATTGATTTGATATTAATTTAAAAAATATTATATATTAATTTGATATTGATTAGGTGATTATAATAATTGATTTAATTATTATTTTTATTTATTATATTTTTAGTTTGTAACAATTTACTTTTGAATAAATAGGCTTTACGCCTCATTCTAAAACACAAATGATTGCAATAAAATTTTCATCATTTTATTCTTTTTCATGGTATCAGAGCAATTTTATTGTTCATTCCGAAGGTGAATCACCTTAGAATAATCAATATTTACTTATTCTCATACTTGGTTTATTCTCATTTCTAACTTGATTTTTGCTTTCGCGATTCAATTTTTTTTGGTTTTTCTTCCCATATTTAAGATTCATTTTTTATATCAATACTCATAACT